CAATTTTCCAGCTAGAACACACCAGTTTGCTAAGGTTTCTTTGCTGCTTTCTGATTTTACTGTGAGGGCAACAAAAGGAAACCACAGCGTTTTCCATCAGAAGCCAGAGCGTGTCCATGAATAACTAACAGACAGCATACAGTTTTCTCAAAGCCAAACGTGGGTTGGTTTTGTATATAAAGTGCCAGCATGCCTTTTCCCTTCCAGTGGGAGCCCTCTGAAGGAACACCGAGCTGTGGTGAATAACAGTCCCTCCAGAGAAACCAGTGTGAAACATGCATTTCATCCCACTGAGTGGAACACCACGCCTGTCACCGAATGATAACGACGGGCCTCCCTCCATTAAATGACATACACATGTATTTGTCATTTGGCTCATTCCAAGTCTTAGGTGCTAGAGAAATAAAGCACTTGTTACTATTCATAGAGATAAGGATATTCTTAGTTTTTTAAAGTCTTTTTATTTTAGCCGGGCGGTGGTGGTGCACGCCTTTAATCCCAGCACTCGGGAGGCAGAGGCAGGCAGATCTCTGTGAGTTCGAGGCCAGGCTGGACCGACAGCCTCCAAAACAATACAGAAAAACCCTGTCTCGTAAAAAAAAAAACCAAAGCAAAACAAAACAAAAAAAACAAGAAAAATTAAAGTCTTTTATTTTACTAGTTTTAAATAAAAACATTAAAATTTTATTTTTGTTAAATCTTCCCCTCTTTCTTGTCACTTACATATGTCACGATAGATGACAATGTTCTTTCTAATGTAAACTTGTTCTATGCAGGCAATGTTTTAATCAACATATCTTTATACTGCCATCTTCCTCACAGACGAGGAGAACAATAGTTAACTTTGTCTAAATACCATTATTCCCACGTCATAGGTGAGGAAACCTGATTTAGAACCGTTAGCTTTCCTAACACAGCATAACGTAGTTTGATTCTAGATCTATATTTTCTAATTTTTTCCATGTAAAGAGCCATGAAAGCATTGTTCAATAAACGCTATCTGTCACCCGATGGAATGATAACTTTTGTTAGTGGCTTCAATAATGTAGGAGGAAGTCTGATGCCGCCATTAAACATGTGACTTATTAGAGGCGCATACAGATGAGGTAATAAAAGGGCGGTTTACCACACCGCTAACCACACCCACTTTAGGCAGGACTAAAGACGTATACGGCTGGACGTAAAGACGTATACGTACGTAGGCGGAACTATGTCACTAGCCAGGCCCACTTTTGGGCATGGCTAGGGGGTGTTACAGGGGAAGGCATAAAAGACAGCAAACAGGAAGTCTCGCTCTCTTTTCCTGGAGTTCGGCTTCCGGTCCGGCAGCTAGCTGAGAACTGCTTGGCTCCTCTGGGTTTGGTATCTTGTGAGTAATTTTCTACATTAAATACTTAGCTTTACTGTCAGTAATTGTGTGTCACGTATCGTTACAGCATCCGTTGAAGCCTACAAATAATTATTGTGAAAACCTTGTGTGTTTTATTGTCACATTTCATTCTATGTGTGCATCCATGTGTGCACATGCATGTGAACACGTTAGGAGAGCAGATAACAACAACCTGGTGTTGTTGACCTCACTTTGACACAGGGATTCTCACAGTCTGGAGTTCAGCAATCAGGCTAGACTCACTGGCCAGCAAACCCTAGAGATCCACCTGCTTCTGCGTCTCCAGCACTGGGACTCCACGCCTTCTCCTACGTGGGTTCTGGGCATGGGCTTAGGTTCTTGTGTTTGCAAGCAAGCGTTTCACCGACTGATACATCTTCCCAGGCCTGAGGCATTTTAGTTTTAAATTAAGAATATCATTTTGAAGCAAACAAGAGACTATTGGGACTTTGTGTCTCTCCCTGACTTTCTGTGTTTCTCTCGGTGCTCTCTCTCTCTCTCTCTCTCTCTCTCTCTCTCTCTCTCTCTCTCTGTGTGTGTGTGTGTGTGTGCGTGTGTGTGTGTGTGTATGCTCTCTCTCTTTGCACTCTCTCTCTCTCTCTCTCTCTGTGTGTGTGCGTGTATGCTCTCTCTCTTTGCACACTCTCTCTCTCTGTGCGTGTATGCTCTCTCTCTTTGCACACACTCTCTCTCTGTTCTCTCTCTCTCTCCACACACAATACTTCACTACAATGAACTTCTTAGACCCAGTAGCTCTGGACATTTTCTTTGCAATTTCCTTCATCTCTTCATCCCTCATCCTCTGTTTTTCCTTTCTGGATTCCTGTTGGACTTTGGGTTATTTGTCATTTTTTTCTCTTTTAATTTTATTTATTTCTTTGCACTCTACTTGTAGAGGATTTCTTTTAACTTTATTATTCTACCCTTGACTTTTTCTTTTTATTTGCAGCAATAAAAATGTCTGGAATTTTAGTTTTGACTATTATAATTTTAATTTTCATGAGCATATTTCCTGTTGTTTGATTTTTCCTGTTTAATTTATTTAACAAATGCAATAGCTCTTCTTTTTTCCCCCCAGAGGCTATGAATTCTGGCAGCTTCATTTTTTTTCTCGTTCATTTATCTACATTCCTTTTGCATATTTATTTGGGGGTCACTTGCTTTCACATTGGAAGAGTTTTATTTTTAATGTTAATGATCCTTGAACCCATGTTCATATTTTAATGAGGAGAATTAAAGTGTATAACCCTGTAAGAATGTTGTCTGGTGTGCTTCTTCCTAGAAGAAAAATGGCAAATATCAGTTTTAAAAATATTCATAAGATGATTTCTAAGGGAAGAGTAGTCCGTTTAACCCCAAAGAGTCACGAATAATTTTGCTCATGGAGAGAACAAGTGGGTAGATGTAGAAGGAAATGGTTAAGTTCTAGAGCCTAATTTGTGTCCTACAGAGAAGAAGTTGAGGAGACAGACCTTAGTCATGAAACTTTATGTAAGACCACAGTTGGTTCTGAGTGGTCAACAGTCAGCTTTCCAAGCCATTGTTAAGAAAATTATTCTGCCTCTGTAGATTTACCCATCATGATCTTGACCCTACTCGTTCATATAATCCCTCCTCCCTCATATAATCCCTCCCTCCTCTCTTTGACTGGATTCCTGGAGCTCTGCCTGGTGCCCGGCTGAGGTTCTCTGCATCTGCTTCCTTGAGTTATCGGATGGAGGTTCTGAGATGACAGTTAAGGAAGGCCAGTTCAGGCACCCTCTCCACTATTGTTAGGAGTCTTAGCTGGGGTCCTCCTTGTGGATAACTGGGAGTTCCCCTAGCATTAGGTTTCTCCCTGACCCCCTAATGGCTCCCTCTATCAAGGTGTCTCTTTCATTGCTCTCCCTCTACCATCCATCCCCAACTCAATCAACCCATTTTCTCAGGATCTCAGTCCCTATGGGGAGATGCCATGCTCAGCCTTGGTACAGGGAGGAGGGGCTTGGTCCTGCCATGCTTTGTTGACCCCCCCCCGTGGGAGGCCTTACCCTTTTGGAGGTCTGAATGGGGGTAGTGGGAGGGGAAGGGGAAGGGATGTTGTTGCTTTGCTGCAGCTACTGCAGGCATTGAAACACCGAACACATGGAGTTTACTGGGAAAGGGCATTAAGGAGGAGCGGTAGGTGTTGGCCAAACAGGAGCGGAGATGGAAGGGGGAAGGTCAGAGAAAAGAGGTAAAGGACACACAGAGAGGACAGGAGAGAAGAGGGAGACAGGGAAAGCTCAGCCTGCCCTAGGGGGACAGCAGGAAAGCGAGGAGAGCAGGAAAAGAGGTGAGAGGCCAGAAAAACCGCTAAATGGGCGAAGTCTTTCTCTTAAAGGGGTCCTTTGCACATCCATGGAACCCTGGGCTGATCCCCAGGGCACTGCCTGAGTGCATTCTGCCAGGTGACAAGGGGCAGGCCAGAGTAATGCCTGATTCCTTACAAGGGGGGACCTGGGGTTGGTATGTAAAATGAATAAGACATTAAAGAAAAGAAAACTATTCTGACAGATTATTTAAAACGCACTGTTGTCTCCAGGGCTGCTTTAAGAAACATAATTTGGAGATGAGTTTGTTATGTAGTAGTCAGGCATCCTGATGGGTTCCTCTCCTTCTTTTTCTTAACTATTGCACGGAGACACACAGTGGAAATCACTTGACTGCTCCGGAGTTCCGTGGGTTGTTGGGATTTCCCCCACCCCTCACCTCTTGATTTTCTTCTACTGGGTAACTGAAGCTGCAGTAAGTCTGTACCATGAAAATGGGAACACCATCCTCAAGGTTGCTTTTCCTGTCTCGCTAGCAGAAAGTCTTCAAAGTATAGCACCTTCGGGAAAGTGCTTCAGGAGGTGTTGGATTCATCCGGCACTTGGGGAAATGACACTTGTGGATACCATCAAAGCCTGCTGACTCTCTCACGCACCGTGTTTGCCATCAAACCCTGTCACGGTGGCCTCATTAAGTCATCAGCCTCAGTTTCAGATGTTTTTGTTTTGTTTTTTTCCCTCCCTTTCCTGTTCCTCATCATTATTTATTGGTGACCCCGATTCTTAAAGGCAGCTTTGGTCTTTGTTCTTTGCCGGATTGCTGTCTGGTTGTGTGGCGGAGGGGGAGGGACTGGAATGTCACAGCGGTGCTGAGCAGCCTGCCATGGTGCAGGTGCTTGGAGACCAGATCATTGATTGATGAGCCGCTCATCTTAAAGGGAATTACTCAGCTGCCTTATTTATTTATTTATTTATATTTATTTATTTATTTTTGCGGCTTGATTTTCTGCCCAAGGAGGGTTGTTATCCGCCTGAAGACGATCCCTTGATATTTTATCAGAAAAGAGCTTGCGCTCACCTCGTATCACTGGTAATGTTAAAACAGAAAGCATGGCTGGGACACACGAGGACAAAGCCACCCTGTTAACACAGGGTAGCCCTTTCTGCTCTTGGCTGCTTATGAAATCCGCTTTTGGGGGCGGGGCGGGCGGGCTTTGCAGCAAATACCTAGAGGTGGGCTCCATTCCAGACCCACCGGAGCTGGATCTCCGGGATGTGGCCTGAGAACTGCCCACGTGAAGGTTACCAGGTGTTTCTGATGCGTGGCAAGGATTGAAAACAATCGATGCTGGGCCAGGTGGTTCCGTACCGCGCAGGAGCAATGACGTGCCCAGCTTTGGGTCAGGGACATTATGGGAGGAGACACAGGTTTCCCTGTGCTGCCTGAGAGGTAGGAGAAGCTCCGGTGAGGGAACGGAAAGCTACCCAGGCCCTGTGTGCCCGGGGTGGCACGAGGACACTGGCAAGGAAGTCTTGTTGTTGGAGGGAAAAGGGAGGTTCTAAAGGTACTGATTAGCGCCTCCAGGGAGCAGGGAGCGGACACTTGGGCAAAGGGTCAGGGCCAGGCAGTGGAGTGGGCGTGGGGGACACTAAGTGGGCTGACCTGGGGTTAGGGCTGATCTCTACTCTTCACCAAGCGCTTTGCACTCGCTGTTGCTGGAATGATTTTGTAGCGTCCTCACAGAGAGGGAAAGTGGCCGGCACAGATTCAGGGAGCTTGTCCAGTGCCGGAGAACTGGGTGGGTCATCCAGGAGGCCTGGTCCTGAGTGACCAGAGAGAAAGAAGGCAATACTCACTACGGCTGTGATTGCGGGAAGGGGAGAGTTGTGGGGACACCAAACTGGCCTGTACTGTGAGGGCGGCTGAAGTCTTTTCGAGAACCCAGGTGAGGGTGGCAGGCTCAAAATCCTTCAGACCTGGGCCAGGAGGTTGAAAGCTGCGCTTACAGCGAGATTCTTCCAGGTTCCTGGGGCATGATTGTGTGTAAGGCAGGGACTTCTAACGTGTCAACATGGTTCTCTGGAGGACACAGATATTTCAACTTTGAATAACATTCACGGCCTTTTCCATTATTGCGTAAGTCTTATCTAAAGTCAAGCGTTATGAATCTCGAGACCCCTTTGCCCTTTGTATGACCCGGAATCTGCAGGGAGGAATTTTGGCACCTGAGACAAACGGTGGGAAATAATTCATGATATGGCTCACAGATGGTCATTATTAACAGTGGATACCATCTGGCAGCTTCTCACTTTAAATCATTACTCTTGCTAAACAGATACTAAACTTTCAAAATCGTTACTTAGAGTTCTGTGTCCTCCAAATCTCCATGCTTCAGGTCTAACTCCCTTCTCATGTGTGACTACTATCCATCCTTGCTCCAGACAGTTCAGGCATGCGACAGTGGTGTTTGCTGTGCATATACATCAGAATAAGAACAGTCAAGAGTTCAGTGACTTCCTTCTTAGTGCTGTGGAATAATGTAGTGCGTCCTTGATCCTCAGAGTCCTCTTCAATACAAAAGGAACAAATGGTGATTACATCATTTGGATTGCTCTGAGGATAAAATAATGCAATATACCAATAGTATTGTTAACACCAATGACCTATGTAACACATTTTGGAGATTATTGTGTTGAGGAAAACAGGCTAGCGTTAGAATGTGGCAGAAGTTTCTCATAACATAACATGGGGAAATTGGTAAGTGAGCAAATGTTAAAGACAATCAGTTGTGGAAAATTAATGTAGACAAAGCTGTACCTATGTCGAAGTTATGCTACTTGTTGAGGCGTAGGGAGCTAATAAGCAAAGCTCTTCTGAATTTGGAATCAGTTAAGCAGTCATTACAATAGGACAAAGATCTCCCGATCAAAGTGAACATTTTGCTACTGATACAATCTGGCTTGGCTCAAGCCACCTGGGTTGAGTCTCTCCGGTTTCCATGGAAGAGCTGGCTCACTGTGGACCCCCAAGCAGAGACCTGATGCCATGAATTCATGTGTAGGCTGCAGATTCAGCACCTCTGAGACTAGGAGGCCTGCACAGAGCAGAGGGGAACACATGCAGTACGTTCTCCTGGGTGCTTAGGTACCATTGCTCGCTCAGGAATGGAGGCGGCTAAGCTGGTCCTTCTCGGGTGCCTCAGTGCGGTGGAGTGGAAATGCAGAAGGCGGGCATGTCCCCGTGCTGTCTAGTCTTATGTCAACTTGACACAAGTTAGAGGTGTCTGGCAGAAGGGAGCCTTAATTGAGAAAACGCCTCCATAAGATCCAGCTGTAAGGCATTTTCTTAATTAGTGGTCAGTGGGAGAGGGCCCAGCTACTTGAGGGTGGTACCACCCCGGGCTGGTGGTCCTGGATTCTGTAAGAAAACAGGCCAAGCAAGCCATGAGGGAGCAAGCCAGTAAAGCAGCATCCCTCCATGGCCTCTGCATCAGCTCCTGCCTCCAGGCTCCTGCCCTCTGTGAGATCCTGTCCTGACTTCCTTTGATGAGCAGCAATATGGAAGAGTAAGCTAAGTAAACCCCCTCTCCCCAGTTTGATGGCAGGCTTTATAGGGGGTACGGAGCATGCGCATGGGGAAAATACTGTGATTGCAGTGACAGTGGGAATGTGTCCTATTGGCCATTACTGATGACAGGGCATTGGGGCTGAGTCACTGAAGGGAGAGTGGGGAGTGGGGGAACCTGATTCTGGAATGTGGGCGGTTCTTAGTTGACTGACTCTTGCCTCCTCTGCCATTAGTCACATGTGGGGAGGCCCATTTGAGACCACAGGCCATAAAAGAAACTCATTTTTTTCTTCCAATTTTTAAAATGTTCTTAAAACTTGCTGGGTGGTGGTGGCTCACGCCTTTAATCCCAGCACTCAGGAGGCAGAGGCAGGCGGATCTCTGTGAGTTCAAAGCCAGCCTGGTCTACAAGAGCTAGTTCCAGGACAGCCTCCAAAGCCACAGAGAAACCTTGTCTCGAAAAACAAACAAACAAAAAAAGTTCTTAAAAGTTAATAGGAAGTTATACTTCTATAATTTTCCACACAGCTTTCTCAACAGATATTTACAGGTTAAAGGAAGGAGGAGGCCAGAAAGTCTTTGAATGAAGGACGAGGGGCTGAGGAACACACCAGCCAAGCTAGGGAGCTCTGGTCTCCCCTCCTTTTTTGTCCCTTACAAGAATACAAAGTCTCTCAGCGTGCACATTCTGCTTTGTAGTATCTCTGAGAGAGACAAGATAATGAGTATTTGTCTTAGTTCGTTCATGAAGTTAATATATGAGCCATTCTTAATTACATCGAGGAACATTTATTCAACTGGGTGTAAACAGTAATTTCCAATCATTCCCACCAACCCGACACCATACCAGCTCTACTGAACAAGCCCTGAGATTTCATCTGGGCTTTGGAGACCAGTGTTGTTGCTTGACACGATCTCCTTATTTCCTACTGACTGTCCAGCCTTTATTGTCTTGGTTTTCCAAGACAAGAGGCTTGGTTTATTTTCAGCTCACTTTATCCTATCACCAGTGTGATTTCCACCTGAGGACTGTGTTACAGCAACCACACTCAGGCAAGCTCTTCCCGCGCTCGGCTTTCCCCCCACAAACCCAAGAACAGCACAGAAAGAAGAGAGAAGGCAGATCAGCCTTCCTCATGTGCCCCAGCCAGGGTCCAGGAAGAAAGCAAGGCTAGCTCCCAGCTTCTCCTGATCTCTTCAGAAACAGAAATGCTCCACCCGCCCCCCCCCCCACATTGTTATGTGGCTCTCAATCCACAGGCAGCATTCCGAAATGCTAACTGTTTGGAGAAAAGCCGCGTGGTTAGCAAAGTGCAGAGGAAAACGCCAAGCAGCACACTGGAAACCATGAGCAAACACGGGCCCACCTGAACCGCTCTTCAGCCGAGGTCTCAGCGCTCCCGGGTTGCTGTGCGGAGTTTGCATACCTGTACCTGTGTGCTAGTCTGCGTACTGTGTGCTATAGTCTGGATACCCGTGTGCTATAGTCTGCGTACCCGTGTGCTATAGTCTGCGTACCCGTGTGCTATAGTCTGCGTACCCGTGTGCTATAGTCTGGGTATCCGTGTGCTATAGTTTGCGTACCCGTGTGCTATAGTCTGGGTACCCATGTGCTATAGTCTGGGTATCCATGTGCTATAGTCTGGGTACCCGTGTGCTATAGTCTGCGTGCCCGTGTGCTATAGTCTGCGTGCCCGTGTGCTATAGTCTGCGTGCCCGTGTGCTATAGTCTGCGTGCCCGTGTGCTATAGTCTGCGTGCCCGTGTGCTATAGTCTGCGTGCCCGTGTGCTATAGTCTGCGTGCCCGTGTGCTATAGTCTGCGTGCCCGTGTGCTATAGTCTGCGTGCCCGTGTGCTATAGTCTGGATGTTTGTGCTGTGTCTTCACTCTTGAAATTACAAGGGCACAGTTGAGAGATCTTAAACCTCATTGAAAGGAAATTTTTGAGTTTTATGGAAAATTTAAATAAAAAACTATCTTTTAAGGAACAGCTTTTAAAAATGTTTGAGCTTATAAGGCTATGGGGCATTTTAAAACTCATAAAATGTTTCATTGTAATGTCTTTATTAATATATGATCTTGATAGATAACTGAAAGACTAAAAATTAGGGCCACAGCTGTAAACATCAAATTCTACAGGCTGAGGTATTCCTAGCTCATGATGCAGCCAGACAATGGCCTAAACAGTCTGGAAAAGGGTTTCTCCGTACCTAAGGTCTGTTCAGGCTAGCAGGGACGGCTTTAACAATGGATGCATAACATCCTTGTTTTTCCTACCGCTGTTAAGCTGTAGCTATTTTGGTAAACTGAGTAATATAAAAAAAACTTATATTCCATATTGGCACACTATAAAAGGATCAAGTAGGTTCCTAGTCTCATTATAGATTATGCTTATGAGTTAAAAGTCTCTTCTTAGGCTGGACATTGGTGGAACACACCTTTAATCCCAGCACTCAGGAGGCAGAGGCAGGCGGATCTCTGTGAGTTTGAGACCAGCTTGGACTACCAAGCGAGTTCCAGGACAGCCTCCAAAGCCACAGAGAAACCCTGTCTCAAAAAACCAAAAAAAAAAAAAAAATAAGTCTCTTCTTGATACTGAAAGAGCTTAATTCAAAAGTTATTATTTTTAGTATAAACTGAAAGTGATAATTAAGCTTTAATATGTTTAGAACTATGTTTGTAGCCATGTTAAGTACTAACATAATTAATTACAGGGGGAAGATTTATTTAGCTTCCTGTATATGTTTTCAAGGTATAGCCTAACACAAGTAACTAAAAACAAACAAGGGTTGATTTTAGCTCAGATATATTTAATAGATGATGGTCCTCAAACTTGTCAGAGTTGATGAATAAGGCTTATAAAATGTTTAAAGTTACTATGGCAGACAGAAACTCCTAGATCCTAGTAGTGACCTCCCCGCCCCCAAAACCAAGGTCTCCAAAAAGATCATGGGTGTGATGACAGCTACACCTGGACTGTGTTAACACTAACCCCATAAGACTGCCCCAATGCCTGCCTGCTGCCAACACTTGATTTAAACTGTGGACAAGGAAGACACCGGAGAGTGGATTGTCTTTGCCTAGACAAACTAAGGTCAGTCACTCCCATGTTCCTTCTCCACAGAAAGTTCCATCATCTTCTGGGCCTGGTGGCCAAAGACTGATGCTGTTCTCACGCCTCTGCCCCATGCCATGGGGACCACAGGGTCCTGGGGTGACTATCTAGGTAATGAACGTCATTTTAATTGATACAGAGGCCATTTTGGTTATACTTTCTGCTGTAATTTATCCTTCTCAGATCTCTGACGATGTTGACAGCTAGGCTAACTATAGCTTTGTCAGCGTAACAACAGGCAACTAGTTCCTTCCTCCACGGCCTGCCACTAGGTCCTTGTTGAGAAAAGGCAGACAGGTTTGCCTTGCTAGCAGGCTTTATATTAAAGGACAAACACGTTTCAGATGTAACTCTCCACTAAAGGAACATGCTTTTCAATAACTGTTCTCAGTAGCAACTGCTTGTGTCTCTGGTAAATGATGGAAAGAAAAGGGTTCAAAGTCCATACTGAGGGTTTAAGAATATGTCCCAAGATATCTGAAGGTCTGAGGATGTAAAAACTTAAATAAGTTCTGAGGGTCTCAGAAAATGATTTAAAATTATGTAAGTACAAATTATAAAGAGTAATAAAAATTATTTAGGGTAAATAAATAATGGGAGATAATTACATTCCTCTTTCCTCTTCTATGCTATTGTTGACAGTAAGATTTCAAAAGTTCTAATATTGACCAGTAGAATTCTAATAAGCTAATAGAGCAATGACTACCATTCAGTCACAGCTCGAGATTTTAAGTTTCTTTTGGTTGTCTTCTAGGTATAGACTTAACAGGACTTTTCAGCAAGCTAAAATATCTCTGTCCAATCTACATGTCTAGCTCTCTGGACAGAGGGAAAATATCATGCTTTTTACCATGTAGATTTCAGTACAGTGGCAATGCTAATACATTTAGAAATTTCATCTCCCTTTGCAAACTAAAAATTCATGTAGGCTTCAGGGAGTAAAGGAAATCACAAAATTTAGATCCATCTTTGACAGGTCAAATGGACTCTGGATAAGTACAGTCTAAGTTTCCCTACCTGTCTATTCCAGAGGAGGGATCCCGATCTTAGGACTCCCAGGACTATGGGACTAAAAGTTTCAAATGTCAGGTTTCCTTTGGAGTTCCCAAATTTTAACTTCTATCCCTACTCTGTGTGTCTCTGCAGGTTTCCACCTGGCTGCCAGGCATCACCCAGGGATCACCTGCCGACTGCAAACTGTTGAGCTCTGGACTTGTTGAAAGCTGATGCAATTGTGCCTGTTTCTTCAGCTGGGTCAGCTAATCAGATGCTTCTGATAAAGGCTCCATTACCCCGCCTTTTGACAAGCCCTTCGGTCTTCCTGGGCCCTGACATTGTTTCAACTGTAAGTAATTACAAAAGAGAGTACATCATCCCTCGCCCCATAACAGGCAGAAATGCTAAGTCAAAGGGAAACTCTCTGCTATAGGGAACAAAATGACTACTTACAATGCCAACTGTCACACCAGAAAAGTGGGCACAGGTCTGTCATCTGGTAGATTCGTTAGCTGAAATAGTTCAGCAGTATGATAGGGCACTTGGCCTGCTTTATGCAGAACAAAAAGGCACCATGTGACTTTAAGAGAAAATAATGATTTTTGCATGAGCCATTCAGGATTATAATCTGGCTGTACTGAAAAATAATGTCAAGGGGGACCTGAGATAAAATAAGTGACTGTGCCCTATCCATTTCCAGGCTCCTAGGTAGAAACTCTGACGTCAGCCATCACAGGGCCTTAGCCCTCTGCTTCTGCTAACTACTGTTGGCTCTTACATCATTGATACAATAACAAAATGACAATTCCTATCATCAATCTGATGGTCATAGATCCCAACATAAGCAAGTATCCTTCATAGAGTCAAGGATGTGACCCAGGATACAACTCAAGTGGGGGGGGGATGTAAGACCCCTTTGACCTGTAAGCCCAACCTACCCAAGGACCAGGTAACTTCCTGGAATGCTAGGAACTAGAGATCTTGGAAAATAACCAAGCCTCATGGGGAAAAAATGGTTACTGTATGGGTTTGTTCTGTCTCGGGGCCACTCAGCTAGGAATTCTAGGGAGTGGTCCTGACCAAAGTCCATTTTGATCAGTATTTAATTAAAGCTTGCTCCAAATTTGGCTCAAATGGTGGAACTGGTTTTTCTTGGGCAAATCCCTGGATTAACAATTAGCTTGATATGTACCTCTACACTAGCTTACGTCACAAAGCATGTGTGTAATACAACGCTAACAATAAAGAGACGAAGGGTAAGTCAGCCTCAGAGAAAATCCCCATTTTCTTTACACTCTTTATCGAAATAGGTGTGAAAAAAAAAGCTCATTGGAGGTTTGATTTGCATTTGTCTTACGATTTACAATGTTGAACATTTCCAATATGTAGGGCATATGTATGCTATGTTTGTAAAAATGTTCACTCAAATTCCTTGTCATTATCTGGCCAGGCATTGGTGGTGCACGCCTTTAATCCCAGCACTCGGGAGGTAGAGGCAGGCAGATCTCTGTGAGTTCAAGGCCAACCTGGTCTACAGAGTGAGTTCCAGGACAGGTTCCAAAACAATACAGAGAAACCCTGTCTTTTAAAACCAAAAAAAAAAAAATTCTTTGTCATTATCTAATACAGTTACCTGAATTTTTATTGTTGCTGAATTATATTAGTTTTAAAATACTTATGGTCAATTCCTCATAAGATAAATGATATATGTCCTTCCATTCTGTAGGTTATCTGTGTGTGTGTGTGTGTGTGTGTGTGTATGATGAGAGGGTGAGAATGTAGGTATATGTGTGCCTCCATGTATGAATTGAGGGTCTCTTCTTCCACCTTGAGGCAAGGTCTCCCTCCCTCCCTCTCCCTCCCCCTCCCTCCCTCCCTCCTTCTCTCTTTCTCCCTCCCCCTCCCTCCCTCCCTCCCTCCCCCCCCCTCTCTCTCTCTCTCTCTCTCTCTCTCTCTCTCTCTCTCTCGTTTCTGCCATTCTGGCTGTGTGCTTCAAGCTAGGTGTCCCATGAGCATTTGGGCAATTCTCACCTTCACATCTCATCTCGCAGTATGAAGGCTAAGACAATCTGCACTATTGCCTCTATCATTTTTTTATGTAGATTCCAGGACTTAAACTCAGGTCATCAGGTTGTGTGGCAAGCACTTTAACAGCTGGGCCATTTTGCTGGCCTAGTATTTTATGATTTGTTAATTGGGCTTCAAGGTTATTCATAGTCATTTTACAGAAAGAAATATAGCTGAGTTTTGTGTGATTTTTATATACTGCAGCTTTGATGAATTAGCTAGCTAGTTCTAACATCCTCTTTGTAGACTCATTAGCATTTGTACAGATAAAATCACTGCTTAGGAACAGGGATAATTTCAATTCTTCCTTTATAGTTTGGATTGCTTTTGTTTTTCTTTTTTCCTTTGTTTTTTATTCCCAGTTCCCTCTCCCTCCCATTCTCCCATGCCACCCAGTGACCCCCATCTCATCCCTCTTCTGCTCCACAGAAAGAATGAGACCTTCTATGGAGAATCATCAAAGTCTGTCACATCATTTGGGGCAGGGCCTAACCCTCCCCCATGTGTCTAGGCTGAGAGAGTATTCCTCTGTGGGGAAAGGACTCCCAATGTCCATTCGTACACTAGGTATAAATGCTGTTACATTACCAGGGGCCCCATATACTGCCCAGGCCTCCTAACTGACACCCACGTTTAGGGGGTCTGGGTTGGTCCTATGCTGGTTTCCCAGCTATCAGTCTGGGGTCCATGAGCTCCCCCTTGTTCAGGTCAGCTGTCTCTGTGGGTTTCACCAGCCCAGTCTTGACCCCTTTGCTCATCACTCCTCCCTCTCTGCAATTGGATTTCATGAATTTGGCTCAGTGCTTAGCTGTGGGTGTCTGCTTCTGTTTCTATTACCTACTAGATGAAGGCTCTAGGATGGCATATAAGTAACCATCAATCTCATTATACGGGAAGGGAATTTAAGATAGCCTCTCCACTATTTCCTAGAATCTTAAATAGGGGTCATCTATGTGGATCTCTGGACATTTCTCTAGTGCCAGATTTCTCTTTAAACCTATAATGGCTCCTCTATTATGGCATCTGTTTTCTTGCTCTCCTCTATTCTTCCACCAACTCAATCTTCCTGCTCCCTCATGTCTTCCTCCCCCCTCCTCTTCTCCCCTACTTTCTCTTAACTCCCTCTCCCCTCCCCCCACACTCCCAATTTGCTCAGGAGATCTTGTCTCTTTCCCCTTCTCCAGGGGAACATGTATGTCTCTCTTAGGGTCCTCCTTGTTTCCTAGCTTCTCTGGAGGTATGAATTGTAGACTGGTAATCCTTTCCTCTATGTCTAATATTCACTTATAAGTGAGTACATACAATGCTTGTCTTTTTGTGATTGGGTTACTTCACTCAGCATGGTTTCTTCTAGTTCCATTCATTTGCCTGTGAATTTCAAGATTCCATTGTTGTTTTTTTTCTGCTGAGTAATACTCCATTGTGTAAATGTACCACATTTTCTTTATCCATTCTTCAGTTGAGGGGCATCTTGGTTGCTTTCAGGTTCTGACTATTACGAAGTATGCTGCTATGAACATAGTTGAACAGATGTCCTTGTTATATGAATGTGCATCCTTTGGGTATGTGCCCAAGAGTGGAATTGCTGGATCTTGAGGTAGACTGATTCCCATTTTCCTGAGGAACCGACATACTGATTTTCAAAGTGGCTGTACAAGTTGGCACTCCCACCAGCAGTGGAGGAGTGTTCCCCTCTCTCCACATCCTCTCCAGCATAAACTGTCATTGGTGTTTTTTATTTTAGCCATTCTGAGAGGTGAAAGATGGTATTTCAGAATTGTTTTGATTTGCATTTCCCTGATGGCTAAAGATGTTGAGCACTTTAAGTGTCTCTCAGCCATTTTAGACTCCTCTATTGAGAATTCTCTATTTAGTTCTGTACCCCACGTTTAATTGAATTAATTGATGTTTTGGTGACTAGACTCTTGAGATCTTTGTATATTTTGGAGATCATCCTTCTGTCAGATGTGGGGTTGTTGAAGATCTTTTCCCACTTGTGGGCTGCCATTTTGTCTTGTTGACTGTGTCCTTTGCCTTACAGAAGCTTCTCAGTTTCAGGAGGTCCCATTTATTAATTGTCTATTTCAGTGTCTGTGCTAGTGAAGTTATATTCATGAAGTGATCTCCTATACCAGTTTGTTCAAGGATACCTCCCACTTTCTCTTCTAAGATGGTCAGTGTAACTAGATTTATGTTGAGGTCTTTGATACATTTGTACTTAAGTTTTCTGCATGGCAATAGATATGGATCTATCTGTAATCTTCTACATGCCAGCATCCCATTATGCCAGCACCATTGGTTGAAGATACTTTCCTTTTTCCATTGTGTAATTTTATCTTCTTTGTCAAAAAGCAGGTGTTCGCAGGTGTGTGGGTTAATATCAGGGTTTTCAATTCAATTCCATTGGTCTACCTGTCTATTTTTGTGCCAATACTGAGTCGTTTTCAGGACTATACCTCTATAATAGAGCTTGAAGTCAGGGATGGTGATGCCTCCAGAAATTCCATATAAAGTTGAGTATTGTTCTTTCAAGGTCTGTGAAGAATTGTGCTAGGATTTGATGGGGACTGTACTGAATCTGTAGATTGCTTTTGACAAGATTGCCATTTTTACTATGTTGATTCTACCTATCCAAGAACATAGAAGATCTTTCCATTTTTCTTTAAAAGACTCAAAGCTCTTGTTATACAGGTCTTTCACTTATTTGGTTGGCCTTACCCCAAGATATTATATGTTTTTTGTGGCTATTGTAAAGGGCAATGTTTCTCTGATTTCGTTCTCAGTCCATTTATCATCTGTATATTACTGATTTTTTTAAGTTAATCTTGTACCCTACCACTTTGCTGAAGGTGTTTATCAGCTGTAGGAATTCCCTGGTAGAGTTTTTTGGATCAGTTATGTAAACTATTATATCATCTGCAAATAGTGAAAGTTTGATTTCTTCTTTTCCAATTTGTATCCCCTTGATCTCCTTTTGTTGTCTTATTGTTCTAGTTAGAACTTCAAGTACAATATTGAAGAGATATGCATAGAGAGTGGACAGTCTTGTCTTGTTCCTGATTTTAGAGGAATCGCATTGAGTTTCTCCCCCATTTAGTTTGATTTTGGCTGTTGGTTTGCTGTATATTGCCTTTATTATACTTAGGTACGTTCCTGTTATCTCTGATCTCTCCAGAATCTTTATCATGAAGGGGTTTTGGATTTTGTCAAAGGGTATTTTAGTATCTAGTGAGATGATCATGAGGTTTTTATTTTTCATCTTGTTTACATGGTGGATTACAT